AATTGTTTTGTGACAATCCCTATTGTTTTCCCAGCTAATCAAAAACAATCTTTCAAATGGGTGCGGGATCGTCCTATAAACAACGCTAAGTAAAACGACAAGTTTGCATACAAATCAGATTCTTAGTATTAGATAACAAGGGAGTCAAATACAACCAGAAAGTACCAGTACCTTGAAGTTGTTGAAAATTCGTTTGAATTTGTGTCTTAAAAGCGAAGCAAAACAGACCAGAGAACTTTCAGTGCAAGAACTCTACGTATACCATTTGCGGTAGAGAACTGTAAAGTACTATGCTGAGTTTGTACGTCAACTAAAACTGTTTGTTGATTTAGACTTCTTATAGTTACTTACCTAGAAAAGTACTAACAGCTAGTATCTGTTGCCATTGAGGTTTGGCGTGAAAGCATTTCACCATTCCGGTTTGCGGGTACATTTTGTCCTTCACAATTTATCATCGGATTCATCCCATCCGGCGAGCTTCCGTGATGTTTGAAAAAACTTTTAACACCGCATACACGCACCCTGAGTGCTTGCGATCCTTATCGACCAATCACCAATTAATGAAGTGAAACTTTAGTGGCTGACAGTCTTTCACGGCTACGCTGCTCCTTTTTCGTAGAGCTCTTTCCCAGTCCCTTGGGTTTTAGTTCGTTTCGATTGAGACTGAAAATAAATATTATTTTTTAAATATCTTTGTTTATAGTTACTATGACTTTTTGACAATTTTTTGTTTTTATATATAATTATACTTACTGATTACGACCTGCAAAAAATGACTAATACTCAAATTTAATCATTAATAAAAAATGAAAATAATAAAAGAAGATCCCGGTAATAAATAAATTTGTTAGCTTGAAAAGCGAATTTTTTTTTTCCACAAGTGAAACACTTTTTTTGAATACCACTCTTAAACAGAAAAAGAAGAAAAAATAGCAGACAAAAATGGACCATTGGCGTGTGAGGGTCGAAATCACGACCTTGGCGTTATCAGCACCACGCTCTGCCGACTGAGCTAACGGACCAAGCACACGCCGTTACGAAATTTTGACTAGTAACTTTCTAATCCACTGACTGAAATTCAAATGAAATGCACGTTAAGAATAATTGTATTCTTAATTGTATTCTTGTTTGGCCAAGAGAGAATGATCTATTTTGGCTTAGCTTGAAGGGACTCTGCGAATAGCTAAAATGGAATATCAAAATCTTCTAATAGGCGCTTAACTCTATTTCAATTGTTTAGATATGGCATTAAAATTGGAGCTTAGAATGAACAACGTCGGCGACGGCTACGTGCAAAGCTGTTGTTCTGCTTATATAAACCTATTGGTTTTTTGCCGTTCTCGTTGCCGTCGCCGTTGTCGTTGCTTAAGCTCCCTATTCTCTTACTAGCCTACGTGGCAGGCGTTGGAAAGGGAAGAGAAAAGGAGTTTGGGCTCTCTTGTGGCTGTATTTTACAAATCCTTTTTTGACCAAGCTTGTTCGGTCAAGATACTTGAATGTTGGCCTCGTTCTTTTTTGCATTTTTATTGTCCTCGACTGTGTTCGTCTCGGTCCATAAAAATGCGATAAAAGATTTGCCACTATAATTCAGCCATCTTGATCTCACGCGTGGTCAATAACGCATGTGGCAGCTTAACTCTCAGCAAAATAACATGTTTACTAAAACAGGTTTACCAACAAAAATTGTTCAAAAATGCCTTTTTTGTACAGGGTCCAAGTATTTATATGGATTTTCCTTTGTACCAATTTCTAGTCAACTAGACTGAAAAAGTTGACATTGTTAGACCGTTTTTAACAAAAGAGCTTTTCTGAAGGTGATGAGTTTTTGGCAAAGCCTGTGAAGAGGCTCTCTGTTGTTCACAGGCTATTCTGGCATAAATGTAAAACTAGAGAGCCAATCCCGTCGTGTTTCATCAAACGTAGGCAATTTCAAAAAAGAACGGCGCTTGACGAGAAATAAAAAAAACGGAAGTTTAATTGGTTTTCCACCCGAAGCGACGGCCGCAAATGCAGTACATCTGTAGTCGCACTGCTAGAGAGATCTAGTAGAGCTTTTGCATCTGGGTTCACACATGGATAATAGAAAGACTGGATAGGAAACTTATGTCACGTGGGCTGATTTCTTATCGCCGATTGGTTGTTTCGTGCTGCGAGATGGCGTTGGATCATCATAGTGGAAGTTTGTGACGAAACGATGTCTTTCTATTATCCATGGTTCACATGACCTACACACTCTTTTTTTTTTATAAGAATATTGTTTTTCCGGCCCAGGCTGAATATTCTTATTTTTCTGCCGATTTTAGGCTGAAAATATTCTTGTATTATTCTTAAATTATAGCTTATGACATTTCCGTTTTAGAATTTATTGGGGTATCAATTACAAGTGTTTGGTATCTAGATCTGTGCTGAATACTGTACGTATGTATTACATGTACCGTTCATCGAACTGTCATTAGCGTTGAACATTTTACTATAGCTAGTGCAGGTTTTTTCGTTTTGTTGGCTAGTTTCGCCGTTTAGAGAAAGGAATAATTTTATACGGTTAAGTTAAAAACATAAAATTGTATTGTATTTACAGATGTTTCAACACACAAAATTATATCTATCCTTTTCAAAATCTCACTCAGCCTCGGCTTTATTCTTAAAATATTCTTAAAATTTCGCAAATTTCAGCCTCGATATTCTTATAAAATATATTCTTATAAAAAAAAAGAGTGTTTCTCGTGCCAAAATTTATGGACACAACTTTAAAAAAAATATAGATGGAAAGAGAATTGAAAATATCATAGGCCTATCAATTTTGAGGCTTTTAATTTCTCAACAGCGAGACTCGCTGACGGTTTAAATAATGAATAAATACAATCTGTACACTTTACAAAGGGAAACATCGCTGACGCGTGTGCCTTAACTGCAAACTAGGAAATAGGAAATTTGCATATGGTCACCTCTTCAGTGCAAATCAACGCCCGCCCTGCAGCTAAGCATTTTCTCTTATTATTGCGTAACCGACCTAAAAAACCTATTCCTGATCACTTATAGTTTTTACGTATATTTGTTTTAAGCGCGTAGTTGAATTTATCATCATAGCGCATGTAGGTTATCTAACAAATAGATGGTTCTCCAGTTCTTAAGATCTCTTAATAACTTCCTGTTTAGCTGGTATTGTTCCCAAATTAGGAAGTAGGGCAAGGTCGTGCGCCAAGTAAGTAAGCAATTAATTGAGGGAAATTAAGGTCTGTAACCTGACAAAATGTTATCGAAGCAATCCGAGGAATATGAATAGAATACAGCTGAATAGAATACAGTTGACTCCCCATAATTCAGTGCAAACTTTATGAATTAAGAGTTTATCAAGACAGCTGGTCATACCTTCCTTCCTTAGACTAGCCTGCGAGGATAAGACGTTTGCGTCTTCATGAGTTAAACTCGAAAACAATGACAAGTTCTGACGAAGTGAACATCACAACCACGCTGACCCAAGTAATCCCACTGCAAACAGACGTGGAAGTATTTCTGTCAGCTTTGAACATCTTCCTTGCTATCACAGCTTCTCTTGGCAATGCCTTGATCCTGAATGCTCTCCCCAAAGTAACTTCTCTTCACTCACCAACAAAACTGCTATTTGGAAACTTAGCTGTGACTGATCTCTGCGTTGGACTTATATCACAGCCTCTTTTCGTAACAATTCGGCTTAGCGCCGTTATAAAGATGAACTTAGATATCCAGTACTATCTTATGAACATTGCAAATGCCTTCGATTTCATTTTGTGTGGAGTTTCCATCCTCACCTTAAGTGAAATAAGTGTCGATAGACTTCTTGCTCTTTTACTGGGAATAAGATACAGAACGATTGTAAATTTAAAGCACACTCGAGCTCTTCTGTCATGTTTTTGGTTAAGTGGGATTTCTGGTGTATTACTGAGCTTGTTTACGAGCTTTAGTGTCGCTTCTATAGTAGGCGTCATTTTTGTAATCATTTCTACAGTCATCTCGATTTTTTGTTACACGAAGATCTTTATGACACTCAGACAAAACGAAACTCAAGTACAAAACCTAGGCCAGAGACGAGAGGGAATGCCATCTCATATAGGGAGATACAAAAAGACAGTTTGGAGCATTGCTTGCGTGCAGTTGGCATTAATCGCGTGTTATATTCCTTTTATTATCTGTGCTATAGTGATGAAGATAAAGGATTTGAGTGGTACGACAGCGAACACTATTTGGATTCAGTCTGATTTACGTAAACTCTTCATTGAACCCAATTCTCTACTGTTGGCGGATCAAAGACGCTAGACAAGAAGTGAAGGCCACGATCAGACGGTTTTGTTGCCGCTCAAGTTAAGTTAGACAGATAGAACGACAGTTTGTCACGAATATTGCTCTTTTAGGTCATTTCTGTGCTGACCTTATCGCTAAGTGCCTTTAACCATATCCAAAATATTCCATTAGAGCCGGATTTAATTTAGAGATGTCAAGTATATTTCATTGGCAAGCACTAACCATATAAAATATTTATTCGATTGACCCCCCGGGGCGCTTAAATTCGAGGTGGGCGCTTATTCGAGGCTGGGCGGTTTTTAAATTTTCACTGTTTTCAGCAAGTGTAGTTTGTTTATTTCGCAACAAAACAATAAGTGGTAATAACGAAACGCGAAGATGTAACAAAGGAAGGTTTCTGTAAACTACCCCTACTCTGAATAAAAATCCTTCTTCGGGGAAGTCTCTTTATATTAGTACTTAGTAAGTTTCAGTCTCATTGTCACCCAAGTGGGTGGGGTAGGGGTGGGCGCTTATTCGAGGTTAGCCGCTTGTTAACTTTTACTACCTTCAGGATGGGCGCTTATTCGAGGTGGGTGCCAATTCGAGGTTGGGCGCTTATTCGAATAAATACGGTAGTTGTTTGGTGGTTTCTGCAGGCATAGCTTTAAAACATGAAAAATTTGGCCCAACATTTTCATGTTTCAACCCATCTCCATCCTTGTCATCCGTTGAAACAGTCGGCATCAAACACTTTCGGATCCTTTTACGTTTCTGTGAAACTGCTCACCTACCCCTCCCCTAAACCAACATTAACACTTAGGTCTTACTTAGGGCAAAATGTTGGCTATGGGAGGGGTAGGTGGGCAGTTGACACAACTTTAAAAAAAATATAGATGGAAAGAGAATTGAAAATATCATAGGCCTATCAATTTTGAGGCTTTTAATTTCTCAACAGCGAGACTCGCTGACGGTTTAAATAATGAATAAATACAATCTGTACACTTTACAAAGGGAAACATCGCTGACGCGTGTGCCTTAACTGCAAACTAGGAAATAGGAAATTTGCATATGGTCACCTCTTCAGTGCAAATCAACGCCCGCCCTGCAGCTAAGCATTTTCTCTTATTATTGCGTAACCGACCTAAAAAACCTATTCCTGATCACTTATAGTTTTTACGTATATTTGTTTTAAGCGCGTAGTTGAATTTATCATCATAGCGCATGTAGGTTATCTAACAAATAGATGGTTCTCCAGTTCTTAAGATCTCTTAATAACTTCCTGTTTAGCTGGTATTGTTCCCAAATTAGGAAGTAGGGCAAGGTCGTGCGCCAAGTAAGTAAGCAATTAATTGAGGGAAATTAAGGTCTGTAACCTGACAAAATGTTATCGAAGCAATCCGAGGAATATGAATAGAATACAGCTGAATAGAATACAGTTGACTCCCCATAATTCAGTGCAAACTTTATGAATTAAGAGTTTATCAAGACAGCTGGTCATACCTTCCTTCCTTAGACTAGCCTGCGAGGATAAGACGTTTGCGTCTTCATGAGTTAAACTCGAAAACAATGACAAGTTCTGACGAAGTGAACATCACAACCACGCTGACCCAAGTAATCCCACTGCAAACAGACGTGGAAGTATTTCTGTCAGCTTTGAACATCTTCCTTGCTATCACAGCTTCTCTTGGCAATGCCTTGATCCTGAATGCTCTCCCCAAAGTAACTTCTCTTCACTCACCAACAAAACTGCTATTTGGAAACTTAGCTGTGACTGATCTCTGCGTTGGACTTATATCACAGCCTCTTTTCGTAACAATTCGGCTTAGCGCCGTTATAAAGATGAACTTAGATATCCAGTACTATCTTATGAACATTGCAAATGCCTTCGATTTCATTTTGTGTGGAGTTTCCATCCTCACCTTAAGTGAAATAAGTGTCGATAGACTTCTTGCTCTTTTACTGGGAATAAGATACAGAACGATTGTAAATTTAAAGCACACTCGAGCTCTTCTGTCATGTTTTTGGTTAAGTGGGATTTCTGGTGTATTACTGAGCTTGTTTACGAGCTTTAGTGTCGCTTCTATAGTAGGCGTCATTTTTGTAATCATTTCTACAGTCATCTCGATTTTTTGTTACACGAAGATCTTTATGACACTCAGACAAAACGAAACTCAAGTACAAAACCTAGGCCAGAGACGAGAGGGAATGCCATCTCATATAGGGAGATACAAAAAGACAGTTTGGAGCATTGCTTGCGTGCAGTTGGCATTAATCGCGTGTTATATTCCTTTTATTATCTGTGCTATAGTGATGAAGATAAAGGATTTGAGTGGTACGACAGCGAACACTATTTGGATTCAGTCTGATTTACGTAAACTCTTCATTGAACCCAATTCTCTACTGTTGGCGGATCAAAGACGCTAGACAAGAAGTGAAGGCCACGATCAGACGGTTTTGTTGCCGCTCAAGTTAAGTTAGACAGATAGAACGACAGTTTGTCACGAATATTGCTCTTTTAGGTCATTTCTGTGCTGACCTTATCGCTAAGTGCCTTTAACCATATCCAAAATATTCCATTAGAGCCGGATTTAATTTAGAGATGTCAAGTATATTTCATTGGCAAGCACTAACCATATAAAATATTTATTCGATTGACCCCCCGGGGCGCTTAAATTCGAGGTGGGCGCTTATTCGAGGCTGGGCGGTTTTTAAATTTTCACTGTTTTCAGCAAGTGTAGTTTGTTTATTTCGCAACAAAACAATAAGTGGTAATAACGAAACGCGAAGATGTAACAAAGGAAGGTTTCTGTAAACTACCCCTACTCTGAATAAAAATCCTTCTTCGGGGAAGTCTCTTTATATTAGTACTTAGTAAGTTTCAGTCTCATTGTCACCCAAGTGGGTGGGGTAGGGGTGGGCGCTTATTCGAGGTTAGCCGCTTGTTAACTTTTACTACCTTCAGGATGGGCGCTTATTCGAGGTGGGTGCCAATTCGAGGTTGGGCGCTTATTCGAATAAATACGGTAGTTGTTTGGTGGTTTCTGCAGGCATAGCTTTAAAACATGAAAAATTTGGCCCAACATTTTCATGTTTCAACCCATCTCCATCCTTGTCATCCGTTGAAACAGTCGGCATCAAACACTTTCGGA